CTTTTTGTAAATTATCCCTGTACGTCAATCGCGATAAGTAAATACTTACAAAATCTAACGCTACCATTACATCAGTTCTTTGTACGTTTCATACAATCAATTTTACATATGATCCCATTGATTGTTAAAAACTGCTTTTAAAGCTGCAATTATACTGCATTTCACTTCAAATGCATATGCACATTAAATAAGTAGACTAGCTGTTTGCGCGATTGACAATATTATAAAATGAGAAGTGGAAATGATAGTTGTCTAAAGATTGCTGTAAGCTGCTCCTTATCAAGTCTTAAAGTATCATATTAAATATTAGCCATTAATATATATGCGTTTGTAATCTGTTCCTGCCACTGAAAAAGACGCGCTACTATTTGTTACTGGAATAGCATATAAATTCACGTAATTGATAATTTCGGAGAAAGATCACATAATTTCATACATTTAGTCGACATTAACGTATTGACCTGTAACTGTAGCCGTTTGATGATATCTTCTTCTTCCGGAAAAATCCTCATTCTCTTCATTCAGTTGAGCCGAACACATTTGAACGCCTGGATGCACCGGGGTTACTACTATCTGCTCGTAATCATAAACTTTCCTCCTATAATATAAAATACAAACTTTACTAAAGAAATCTTTATATTATATTTTTTCTAAGCATTCTATAATCAGATATAATTCTTAAGAGAAAAAAAATAAATAAATTACTTCCTGTTTAATTTCAATCCTTATGAGTCTTGAATTTAGCAATTCAAAATAATTGTAATAATAATAAATAATTAAATTTACCCCATAATTCGAAGTAATGCAATTCGAAACCATTTAAAGAATTGGAATTCCGCAGAAATTCCAGGTTTTACAGCAGGGTTAGCGTGGCCGACGTAACTCCAAACGAGAAATACGACGACAATATTAGCGATCGCATATCCCCAGTGTACGAGAAACATTATAAGCAATTTTACAAGGCACTGCAATGTGAATGTACTTACATTAATCTTTAATATAACTAGATATTTCGAGAATATATCTCTTAATGTGAAAAAGCGATGTATTTCGTAAAAAGTAACGATTTTCTCAATGAATAAGTACTTACACCCAATAACGAAAACCATCTATTGCATAAAGGACTATACCAATTTCCTAGCTTATTATGGATATGAACTTTTCGTTCTGGTGTACCGGAAACACTGACATTATCCTCGATACTCGGCGATGAATCCACATATACATTATTGTCAGAAATACTATTGTTTCTCTGTATGTAAATTTTGTCAGTAAATATTACTGGATAAATCTTCAAAAGAGATAATAATAATGCGTGCTTCGGTCCATGTGATTTCTTACCATAAGATTTTTATGTCTTATTCTCTCAGGAAACAGACTGTCCAAATCATTATCCATATCAATTATCGAGTTGTTCCTACTTGCGGAGCCATAATTGCGATCGAATGTCGGAGATTGCGAACGGAATCGTTGTTCGCGAGTATGCCGAAGATCAAACGTTTGTGCGAGAGCAAAGTATGCATAATCTAAGCAGGCGTATGTTAACAAGAATGGCATCGTCACAATTGGAGCGAGTGTATTAATTTGTCCGGTAATGATGAAAGTTAACGTTACTACAGCAACAACTAGCATAGCGTATACAGGTACTTTATTTGGTCCTCTCTGAAAACAGAATTGTTATTCTAATAAATTATGATATAAAAGGATTGTATACATGAAAAAATTATAAATTTTTTTAAGTATGAAAATAATCCCCCCCCCTCTCCCCTCCATCTCTCCTGTTATTTATTATATCTAAGATAAATTTATAATAAATATATAACAAATAATATCAACGAGAATAATTACCCCTCTTTGCAAGCAACTCATTCCTGGAATAACATTTTGACTGGCGATAGATTGGAGAACACGAGGTGTGCCGTACATGGCACCTAAACAGCTACTGAACGATGATACATACAGACCAGCGAGTAGTAACACTGAGATTGCTGATACCGTCGATGCTATGGTAAAATTGATTAGCAAAGCATTTCTGACGCAAGTTGCCGCAAGAGTTAATGAAAAGCATAAATATAAAAATGTTCTGCAAATAACAATCATTTTAATGTAGAGATCACAAATTTTCCAAAATAATTCACATTAGAGACAATTCATTTTACCCAGTTCCCAACGCCGCTAAAGTACCATTGGGAATATCGCTAGATGGATGCCTCAAATCTCCGCTCATGTTAATTCCAGCTAAAACACCGGTAACCGTGGGAAAGAATACACCGAATACAGTAAACCAGTTATATCCATCTTGATAATCGGGGAAGGTATTGTTTCTCAAATTTCCTGAAAGCCAACCTTCAAAACCAGAATCTGCAAGAATAAATAGTAAATTACTTTATCTATACTCATACATTTACAAAATTCTGTATTACATAACACATTGTTATTTTCTGTTATAATATGATATTTACAATATGATATGTTATCTTACCAATGTTGGTATGAGTAAAACTTCCAACCATAAAATCAACTCCAGCGAGGAGTAGAATAAGTAAGAGGATAAATTGCAATTTTATAACCCATTTAACACCAGCTACATTAATTACAGACAACAATACTACGGCTGCGCATGCGAAGCCGCGTTGTGTCCATGCTGAATTCAAACCTACAAGACCGGCCATTGATTCCCCAAAACCTAAAACGTTTAGAGCACAACCCACCGCCTGAAATAAAATCCACAAACCGATTCTTGGAATCGCTGATAAAATGGAAGGATGGGTTTACTTGTTCCTACCTGCCCGAAGCAATAAAGTAATCCAATGGAACCACCAAATCTAGAACCCAGTACATGCGATAAGAGAAAGTACACTCCACCACTTTCGACTCTACTCCGTTCACATATACCCACAGCTGACAGTACTGTCACCAATGCAATACACACTGAAATCATTACAGTACACAGTAATCTCCCCCAATATTTACATCAACTTATTTAAAAAAAAAAAATAAAAAATTATTTAAAAAAAAATATTCTCGTTCCTGTAGAAGATACATTTATAGCGTCTCGCTCATGAAAATATATATTTTACAAAAGATATAATTGAGACAAAACTCTATTGTATCTTTTGAATTAATAATATAAATGTATCAGTTATATATTATATAAACCTGTTCTTTTGTCACTGTACTGAAGTCAGTAAGCTCTATAATATTCACCTTCAAGAAGTGGAAATATTCCAATTCCTAAAAAAGGACATTTTGATGCAAAAATTGTACTGTTTTCTTTATCAGGGTCTCATTGGTTAAAGTTACAAAAAGAGTTAGAAAAATAAGTATTTAGATCCATTGTTTTTCTATATTGCTGGAGTAACTTCTTGCACAATTAATCTTTCTTTGTTTTCTTTTCAGACAAATTATATTTACCTTCCTATTCTCTGTCAAGTAGTAGTTTTCTATAATTTAGTATGTATAAAGAAGATATACTCCAGTATATTATAGAGTTCAATGACTGGAACGCACTAAAACTTTTTACCTCGTTTTCGCCAAACTTCAAATATATATCTATTTCATTTTAAGTACAATAAGTATATACTAGTTTAGCCACAAAGAACAGATTTCATAATTAATCTTTACTGATGTAATGATACTACCTGTACAAAAGATGATTAATACTGCATTCAAAACACCTGCTTGACCAACTATCCAGCCAGATCTCAGAAATACAATTACACCAAATATGTTAATAAGGCAAGATGTAAAAACGCCATCCCAGGTGCCAAACAACACAGGCTGGGAGATAAAAAAGTTCGATTTCCACCAAGGATCCGAACTCTATGAAAAATACAAAAGAGTAAACTATAAAACCCACTGAATCAATTTAACTTTCTATTATGTCATACATATTTCTTACATATTCCTGCGCGAACAATTCATTTGCACCGGCCTGATACATTTCTGGACCAAGAGCATTATTATCATCTCCATTATTCCTCTTTGCGTTTTCCTGGGTCTCTGGGTCACGTAAACCGTATCTAGCCCAATCAACGTCTCTGTGTACCCGAACGTCGCCGTTTGCAAGTCTATTATCCTCGTTCGATCCCATATCTTTTCGAGGCAAAAGAACGCAAGCTAGAGTAAACAAGATCAATTCTTGCTCATTGACGTCAGCTTTATTCACGTGGAGATCGTAACGAAAATTTCCTACGTTGACATAATGCCATATTTGTCACTGGTCTGCCTCACGATACTTTCATCTTGCGATGACAAGTATGACAACGCGTACAGGTTAGAATATGAAATTCAAGAAATAACAATTAATGCTGCACGATAAACGCGACGAACGTTCTGTTCAAGAAAGAAGAGTTATTTTTTCGTCTTATCAAGGTGCTGAGTCTGCATTTTTTCGTAATATTTATCAGTCGCTGATGACGTATGACTGGACGACAGAAGCCACCATATTGATTCTGACCAATTCTAACAGCAGCTGCTGATCTACGTCACCGACCGGACGAGATAAAACAGATTCGTACAGCTGCAGGGTAAAATTTCATTTATCCGACAGATCGAACGAAGAAATGTTGACGTTACCGGTTTAATTCAAATATTCATGAATTATACTTACACAGCACAAACATTCAAAAGGACGTTTTAAAGATGTCAGAAGATATTTCTATATATTTTTTAAATTGACGTTCCTAAGATGTCACTTGAATAAAGTGCGATTGGCCGTATTGTCTCCTTTCATTACGGAGGCAGGATCAAAAGCCAATAAACAACAAGAGAATAAAGTAAGAATGCTGTATGAGAAGCCGAACTTTAAATGGCTTGATTTTAATATTGACTTATTTTGATAATAAAAACAAAATTACATTACAAAAATCTTATCTATTAATAATTAATGTTATTAATATTTATATGTATAATTTTTTGACTCTTTTACTTAATATTTGTATTACACATATACGTCCATGCTCTTTTAAAGATAAAAATATCTTCAAAGAAGCTGCACGTTAAAATATACATTTATTTATATTCAATAAAATTGTAAACAAGTTATGCTTACGGAAATGTATTAATCTAAAAACACATTTATTCGCTGCAGTTACTTTTGAATTGTATTATAGTAAAAAATTCGAAATTGTCTTGATACTCAATAGGATCAGTGTTACTAAGACAAGATATTAGACGCACTTCACTGTTGCTAACCCCATAAACATTGCCATATCGTTCACTCATGTGTCGCAGAAGCGTTCGTGAACCAGTCTTTAAAATATAATGATAATTTCACGATAACTCTATCTTTTCCATCACAAATTATAGTATATCTATTTACATATAATTTATTTAAGCTCCTCGCCTCCACTTCTCTCCATTACTGAACTTGGTCATTTCTCGACCGCTAACACCACAGGTACCAATTCCCACACGACCATTTACGTTCTCCGGTGTCGCAAAAATGCTCTTCTTTATAACACCTTTCTTTGAAGACTGCAGAGAACAAAAGTAGTTATAATAGAGACACGATTTAAACATATTCTGGATATGCTATGTAAATGAAGTTATTGCATACCTTGTTAGTAAATGCTAGCCACTTGTTCTTTTCCAATTCCCGTTCCTCCTCCAGTTCTTTGAATCGCTGTAATTTCCTCTGCTTCTTTTTCTTAAGGTATTCCCTTTGCTTATTTGGATCCGAACCTGCAACTGCAGCTGCTTGCATTTTCCTATAAACGAATAAATCTATCGTTTGAGTAAAATAGAGACAATTCAAGATATTTTAGATATATAAATAACAATAATGTTTCCATATATTTTTATCAGTACATGCATTTCGATAAGTATTAATATCAATATATCTCGATGCATGTACCAATTACTTACAACTTACAAAAATTAGCACACTTATTATATCATAAAAGATTATGATGTCATAAAAGAGCAAAATAATACATATATTATTATAATAATACATATATTATTTTGTCATTTAGTGTATAGAATGTAATTACAATTTGTCAATTCTTTTGCACATATATAATTAATTTGTTTTTCAAAGACGTGGTCCAAGAATTGGACAATTCTTGTTACCTTTTTCTGGAGTCCGACGCACACAGACCGCGTGACATCAAAGGATAAATGAACAATAATGAGCATATTTCAGATGTAATATCGTACCAATGGTGGAGTTAGTTGCCAATTCAGAAATGAGAAACAGGAGGAAAAAATGAATGATTAGTAAAGTGTCGCCTTATATTTTTTATGTTTCTCATAAAAGCAGACATGTGCAAAAATGTAAGGTATATTTCACATCGATTTACAATGATACATTATCTTAGACATGATAGATCAGGAATGACTTACTTTGATTTTTGATCTGCCCAATCTGATGCTGGCCTCTTAGCAACAGACTTTAGCTGACTGAGCATAGTAACATCAGTGTTCTTGTACTCATTGAACGTCACATTTACTATTCCATCTTCACTTATCGCATCTATAGTTGCTTCGTAATACCTGTAAAATTTTGCAATATATAATATTTAAAAAATTATGCGAAATGTTTCATTTCAGAATTAGTCATTGCACTTCTTTTTAAACAAATCATTATCAATTTTTTTATCCAAACAGTTGATTACTTACAACTTATATCATAATTAATATTTACTTTAATAATATTAATATTCTTGGTCTTTTTCCTCTTTAGTATTCACAACATAAAATTTGACAGTAGGAAAGTTAAATTCAAAGTTTCTTAAAATAAAGTCCAAGTATTAACTGAAAAATAAATTTGAAAAATAAAGCAAATAATATTGCTAAATCCTTTCTGATTGAAATTTTTTCCTGTAAATAATTTCATCTTTGTGTTATATCATGTATTTTAGGTTTTAATAATGACTCAAAATATCCAGCTTTCAAAACATTTTATATATCGATTCAATGCTGTATATAAATTAGATGATATTTCTTGCACAACTCGATCAAAATTCAATTTGATTATAAACAATAGGCCTGTCTTTAAAACCAGAATATAGATTTTTGTATAATGCATAAAACTTGTGCAATCCATAATGCATGAGAAAATCAACCAATCAAAGTCTTTTATTTGTATGGAAATAAAGGAAATAAAGGACTTTGATTAAAGAGTTAGTTTTTTCAAAACTTGTGTGTTCTTACCCTTATAGAACTCTCTAAAGGTACACACGATGCAATAAGTTTAAATAAGACAAATTATATTTGTTCTTCTTCAACTTATTGCATCAGTATACACAAATTCAAAGAATTCATCAACGAAGAACAAATCTAAAATACGAATACCCACTTGCTATCCTCGCTCCAAGGTGCCATACACTGATCGCCGACTTTCCACTTATTGGCCAGAACTGCAAGCAAAATAGGATCTTTAGCATCCATGCCATTGGCTTGTCTTTTTTCCTGTTGTTGTGACTTAATTAAATCATGTGTCAGCTTTATTACTTCCTTCAGATCGAATTTCAGCTTTATCAACTCTTCATTATTCGGATCTGTCGTGAGAGCCGCTTCCACCTGAAATACAGAAAAGGATAAAGAGTCAGTCCATCGTGAGAATATTGTAAGTGGATACAAACAAGAATGAGTTGTCACATCCAATCGATTGTTACGCGAGGTTAGGAGAGGAAAAATAAGGCTAAACACCTGCTGAAGCTGCAGCTTGTAATTCTGTAAGTCATCCATGATGCTCGTCTTATCTCAGAAACGGATTATCCAAAGCCAAGGCGCGATACAAGAATTCGGTCTTTTCTTTTCGC